TCGTTTTTGGGATTAAAATTGAAGTAAGTGGTTTAATTTTATCGATTCTCGGAAGAATCGTTATGGATACGGCGCCCGAGGTCATCCAGTTGCATAATAATAAGGTGTAAACCCGTCCCAGGTTTTACACATAATTTTAAAATGAACCTTGTTTTACTTAAAATCAAAATTTTAACATTCATGTAAAGACTGTAATTATTAAAAAAAATTAAAAAATACTTTTTTAATGACATAATTTATATTATGCAAGGTTTAATTTGGAAAGAGAAAACATTGATCACTTGGTATCATTAAAACTCAATTGTATCTGATACAAAAAGAAAAAGCTTAGCTGCCTAAATTTACAATGGTTAACTCAATGACAAGTTCATGCTGTGTTATTTTAGCAGAGTGAGATAAGACCTACGAATGACCACGTTGTATCATTAAGAATTTCGATTGTATTTGTTACAACCAGCATTGTATATCTTAGTTGCCTCAGTTACAATATTTGTTGCAATTTTTGTTGAAACAACAAAACCAAGATCAGTTGCAGCCGAGGCGTTACTTTGATCATTATATTTCTCGGTTGTATCTATCACAACTAATATATCTTACAATAAGCTGCCTAAGTAAACACTAGTTAGTTGCATGACAAGTTTACGATGTTGTATCTTCGATCTTCGATACATATCATTATGTATCGCCTCGGCGCGGCGGTGGATCAATAAAACGGAAAATGTGTAATCATTTCTAGAAATTGTTTTAAATACCTCTAATGACAATATTACCTTCAAACCATATGTTAAACTTAATTGATGCTTCACAAACGTTGGCCTTGTTCATAAGTTGTATTTCAACTCTTGCGATTGACGACCACAATATATGCATAAAAACCTTGTATAAATTTTAGAATTGTGTTACAAATCTTTAATTTCGTATACGTGGTATAAACAGAAAAAGAAATGTATCGTAAAACCGGATGTGGTCCTTTACCTAAGCACATATAAAAATGTTTTTATACAGGGTGGTTCAGTTTTTAATCGGGATACTTTACCAGGACGTAGTACTTGTCAAAATAACACAAGTCTTATATAAACATAGGGTCGCAACTCTTTTATTTTCGAGCTACTTGACCAAAAATTTACTTTTATTTGCTGTTTTTAATTTTTTTATATAGATTATATCATTAAAATATATTAAGATAAACGCTCTCTACCATTTCTTACGTTGACTAGCATTTAACTCTGTGCGCTTAATTGTGGTGTTGCTGCAATTTCATGCATAGTTAGGAGCAAGTTAAATAGTAATGGCTCTATTATTAGAAATCATTTCTAAACACTCAAAGCATCATCTCCTGTTGGTCAAAATCTAATGAACGTTCATTGTGAAATTGAATCCATACCCGATCAGTTAGACTAACAACCGAAACTCAGTATGAACATGAGCTAGAAAAAAATCTGTCCACATTTTCGTCGATTCTTGAAAGCGAAGCTTTTGGATGCCTTAAATCGCGAAAAAAAATGGTTTGCGTGGGCATTCTATTCTAAAGTATTGCAAAATTTGTGTTCCACTATGCATACTGTTGCTTCGATTTGATGCCATTAATTTTTAAAACACTTTTACGAAAAATGGATTGCTACAAATAGCCAATTGACTTTGGCCAAACAGTTCAAACTTGTTTTGACAGCATATTTTCTGGTAAAACTTTCAGTTTTTGATTCCCAAGTGTTACTAAATGTACTCAATTGAGGGCAACGGAAGAAAGTGTTAGGATTGAAGAAAGACCATTTTGGTACAAATTTTAGTTAGCTATAAGCTAAAGTATTAGGAATCTCTGAAACAGCCTTTTTTAGGGCAACGCGTTACTTTACAGGTTTCGCAACTTCAACGAGAACTTTATAGAAAAACTCTGAACTGTTCTTGAAAATGTAGAAACAGAGCCAAATGTTTAGTAGTGCTACTTCAGTTTATCCAAGTCTTGTATATTAATCGGCCTGTGACATGTAGTTCACGTCATAGGCGTTGTATCTAAGTTTACGTAGTTATCAATTAGAACTGTGTAATATCTAATTAGTAAAAGTATGCCTACAAACGGCTCTATATCCGTATGTGAAAAAGATCGTTATTACAGTTAACTTTTTATTATGTCATTAGATTTCTGCAATACTATATTTTCATTTTGGCGAAGTATTGAGGCTTCGTATAACGATATGATGAACAAACCACACTTTTTTGACATTATTAAATCTGCATTGGTCATTAAAATTAAAGCAAGATAAGTATGATCTCAACATTAAGTACTGTTTTGTTGTCAACTTAGAGATTTTGTGGAAGAAAATGTTCTTTTTTTAGCTAATTACACTGACATTCACACTGTTTATCGTACTTCCTTCCAAAGTTTTACAGTGAGGCAATTTTTCTTAGGTCTACTGTATCTAACCTATATCAGATTCAAAAAAGGTATTGGGGTTTTGACTTCTCTGTACACCTAGGAGAAACTCTAACAATTTAAAAACCATTTATCCAACCTAATTATCCAATTGTGTTCGTAGTGTTTGAGTAAATGACAAGTTCTGTTATCAATTTTATTGGTATTGCATTCATCCCAAATACACTGCATGACAAATGGACGTCTCCATAAACATTAGTTGAACAGAGCATCTTTAAGGCTTCACGTAGAGTTTTCTGTAAACAGTTTGAACAAAACCATAATTTCTAAAATATCTTTCAAATTTACTGTATAAGCTAAATCACCGATGGGAATGTATACCATTATGCAGTACTATTGCTTTAAATCTGGATATACTGAACTCAATAAATAGTCTGTGCTTAGTTGGGTTGAATTGGTTAAATCAATGCCATCTCAGCATAGATGCATTGAAGTATTGAACGAAGGATTTAAAGCAGAAAATTTTTCTTGTTGAAGCTAATAGGTCAACACTGAGAGTTGCTGCTACAACATCTTTCAGCTTGTACTTTTAGAAGATTTAGATTTCGAACCAAATCATTCAGTTCCTTTTGAGTTGAGTGAAGAGCAAGGCCATGAGATTGAAAGCAATTCTCTCCTACATGTTCAACATCTCCTCATTTACTTATCGTTGGATCTGTTTTCATGTCTTATCAATTACAGACTGGAACAAGCAGGACTTCATTACAGGGCACAGATAAATGAGTTTTAACGTGCTTGGCGTTTTCTTTTCAATCACTCGGTTAAAGTAGTAGGTACTAGCAATAAGATGGCAAAATTTTAACTTTGCGCACCAAGATAACAATGAAAATGTTATTCCTATGCTTTCTTAACTAAATCGATGATTCGTTTCGTTTGATTCAGATCCTGCACACAAAATTTTACTGCACAATATTAAAAAGACAATGTTGAAGTGCCTCTTCTTTATGGCCTTGGCTATAATCTCTCAACCGTAAGCGTTAAATCTTCATGGCCTTGGTGTACAAGCAACTATTTCTGAATACGATTTCTGTAATGATAAATTATATTATTTAGATCTGGGATTTGTGAATGAACAAGAGATAGCAATAACTCAATTGGTTTAATTTATTGTAGTTGATATTAGACCATTTATTGAATATTGAGTATTGAAAAATACATAAATAATAGCTTAACCTGGAGCTTTAAAAGATGCGGGTTATAAAATAACCTCTAATTACGTTTGTAAATCAACGTGTAAATACGACATTAAAGAATACTAAACATCTCGATCAAAATTGTTCAACCATAAACGATTTCTCTTTGCTGTAAGCGTAGTATTACATCGTCCCACCGAAATGGTAATAACAATTTACCATCAACTAATTATGCGCATTTAACGCCTCCGTATGATCGCAACCCAATGTAGGTAAGCGGAGATTTCCCAAATAGTCAAGTAACAACAATCAATCGCCAACAAACGAATCGCCACCCACTTTAAACCACATTCTCTTCTCCTACAATAATAAAAGAGAAAATGAAAAACAGAAAAAAATAATAGAAAAAGGTCAATAGAATGATCCGCCTTCAAACAGCTGTTGCTTTCAAAATGTCTTGTTGTTTGCGGAAGACTTTAAAGTTGGGCGCCGCTGCGCTCAAATGAAATTTAATTAGATTCAAACCAGTGGGCAAAATGATGAATGTTTTAAAGAGAACGACAACCAGAAGATGTGGGAAGCGTGGTCGCGTGTAATTGAGAGTCGATTACCTTCTTTGCGTTTAGCGTACGCGGGGGTCCACTTAGGATGCAAATCTTTCTTCCCCGTTCGGAATGTAGACGTGCAGTGGCCATTGTGTGTTGTTCCCGAAGACGACGGGATCTCGAAGTAAGTTATAACGTCGGAGATTTTATCTCCTAAAGGCACGGAATTTGCGTCCTAGATGAATGGAAACGAGTCTTCATCGATTGGTTTATCTCACGATTACCCTTTTTCCACATTGTATTTAAGATTTTTCTTCTTCTTATCATAGTTTTGCAAAGGAATGTAACCTTTTAATCTTCATCGTAAATTCACTTTTATTATACCGTTTATTCAAAGTGGGTTAAGTGTACTACAATAAAATCTAATCTAATATGAATTAGGCATTTTATTGAAATGTCCTTGTAGTCAACTCAATGAATTTAAGATTTCGAAAAATTCGTTGTTGTATACCGTGTATAGGTATTATTACTGTTTAAATCCGCTCCGTAATTCTCTGGTTATAAACGGAGTTTTATTTCCGGTGAGCTTTTTGCGAATCTCTGCTTCCACTACGCTAATCTCCAGTTTTAACCGTTGAAATTGAAGATACCGTGGGCAGTGAGGAACAATTTAACGAGGGCTGATGGTCGGAAGTTAAATCGGCTAGCGCACGGTTGGGAAACAAAATAATCCCTAAAAGCGCAGAGTACGGATCTGGGGTTTGTAACGGTCCAACGAAAACGCGCGCTTTGTTTGAGTTCTTTTTACGACAGAGTTTAATTTTGAAGGATTAAACTCTACCAAAAATAACCTTTTTTTGCAATCTATTATTTTTCTTTTTTTTGTTACAGGTTATTTTGGAAAGTATTTAAATAAATATAACGGATCTTACATTCCTCCTGGTTGGAGGGAATGGGGTGGATTAATTATGAACTCTAAATATTATAATTATTCGATAAATATGAATGGAAAGAAAATTAAACATGGGTTTGATTATCATAAGGTAAGTTTAATTTTTTTAAGTAGTCAGTTTCTAAGTAGTAGTGATTTTGCGAAAAACCGGATATCCGGCTTAACTTATTTGGATCCAAGATACAAAATGAACTTTTTTGATGCTAATTTAATTAACGAAACAACTCTAAAAAAAGGATACTTTAATTAATAAATGGTGATATTTCCACAAGGATCCTTCAAGAAATTTTATAGCCAATTTTGAAAATTATCGATGAAAATTGCAACATCGAAAATTTTATCAAAACCTCAAATATTGTTTTCTCAAAAACTAAAAGTTATTTTTCAAAACGGGTTGGTTCATTGGAAAGAGGACACTTTTATTAACACTTTGGGAAATTTTCATACTCATATTCCAAGAAATGGATTTTATACGAATTTTTAAAACTTAATCGGCGAAAATTGCAAAATTCGAAAAAAAAAATTCGATCATTTCCAAAATTTATTTCTCAAAAACTAAAATTGATTTTTCAAAACGCCTTGTTGCATTAAAAAGAGAATACTTTAATTAATAATTGGTGATATTTCCACAAGGATCCTTCAAGAAATTAATTTAATAGCGAAATTTGAAAATTATCGATGAAAATTGCAACATCGAAAATGTTATCAAAACTTCAAATATTGTTTTCTCAAAAACTAAAAGTTATTTTTAAAAACGGGTTGGTGCATTGAAAAGAGGACACTTCAATTAACACTTGAGGAAATTTTCATATTCATATTCCTAGAAATGGATTTTATACGAATATATAAAACCTAATCGGCGAAAATTGCCAAATTCGAAAAAATTTGCGTTATTTCAAAAATTTATTTCTCAAAAACTAAAAGAGATTTTTCATATCGGCTTCTTACATTAAAAAGAGAATACTTAAATTAATAATTGGTGATATTTCCACAAGAATCCTTTAAGAAATTAATTTTATAGCGAATTTTGAAAATTATCGATGAAAATTGCAACATCGAAAATTTTATCAAAACTCAAATATTGTTTTCTCAAAAACTAAAAGTTATTTTTCAAAACGGGTTGGTTCATTGGAAAGAGAACAGTTTTATTAACACTTTGGGAAATTTTCATACTCATATTCCAAGAAATGGATTTTATACGAATTTTTAAAACTTAATCGCCGAAAATTGAAAAATTCGAAAAAATTGGCGTTATTTCAAAAATTTATTTCTCAAAAACTAAAATTGATTTTTCAAAACGTCTTGTTGCATTAAAAAGAGGATACTTTAATTAATAATTGGTGATATTTCCACAAAGATCCTTCAAGAAATTAATTTTTAGCGAATTTTTAAAATTATCGATGAAAATTGCAACATCGAAAATATTATCAAAACGTCAAATATTGTTTTCTCAAAAACTAAAAGTTATTTTTCAAAACGGTTTGGTGCATTGAAAAGAGTTTCTCAAAAAGTAAATAAAAATTCAAAATTATTAATTAAGAACAAAAAGTAAAATCTAAAATATTCATAACTTATTGCAATGGTTGATGGCAGTTATCCTCATTCATTACTATCATTAATCTATTCTTCGTTAATGCTTCGAGGTCACTTTCAGATATTTGTCCGACGCAATGTTGAAAGAAAAACGTTTACACCCCGAGGAGATTTGTTAATGAAATGTTAATGTTAATGCCATTTATTTCTGATTTCTTGTTACTTTTTTATAGACCTCATTATAATAAACAAAGCGGTGATTAATATCACGTGAGAGTTGAAGAGCCCGTTTAATAATTGAATCATTTTCTACAGAATGATTACCCAAATTTCTTCCCAATTTGAGTCCTTCGCGGATGATTTTTGCTGTAAATGCAACTGAATCAAATTCTTCATCAGAATCATTATCAACTACTATTTTTGCAAAATTTTTTTCAGTAAAATCGTCTTTAACTACATTTGGCTATAATTTCTTCCAACAACAATTGAGCGTTGGTTGCCAATCTATAATCATGATTATGTAATTATTCATGTAATCTTCTGAAGCCTTATCACAGAAAAGAATCATTATGCAATCTGATGCTTTATGACTATTAGTACCTTAAAATGGGGTGAAAATACCCCCGGGTATTTAACAACACTGTTGATATATATTTGGGACCGAAGGCTGCCGGAGCTGATTTTTTTGAGGTCATAAACCAGTGTGATAACTTGGTTCTATGTCGCGACGTACACCTAAGTTATCCTATTTAGACACGCAATACTGATTAACAAAGAGATATGAAAAAAACTACCTAAATTTAGCCACTTTTGATGAAATTAATATCTTTATAAAGTCCACAAATTTCAGATTTTTCACTGAAAGATGTATATGTATATGCATAACGGATATAACTACATACCTAATACTAAAAATCGTATAAACCAAACTGAGTCGTGTAAAAACAGAATAAAATATTTTTTTAAACCGTGTAAAAACGAAAATGTGTAAAAAAAGTACTATGTAAAACGAAGAATAGGTGTATTTATATTTTCATTGTTATATTATTAATAGCCAACACTGACAAAGAACTACTTTTAGAGGTAGAGTAGGTCAACATACGGTTGAGAACGTATCTAAAAATATTTTACGAAAATAATGTTATTTTTTTTAAAGTTATTGAGAATTTTGTTGTTATTATAAGTAGAAATTGATGTCAATGATGAACTTCGCAAGTTAAAGATGTACGTTCTAAATTTAGATTTTAAATTTAACACATCACACGAGTAATAAATAAAATAACAAGTAGTAAAATAATAACGTTAATAAACTTTGTACGCACATCTGTTATACGAGGTCGTAAATCCATTGATTTCGCTTAGCTGTTGCCCAGACCGTTAATTACTCAATATATCTCGATCTTGATAGATCTATCATTCAATCTAGCGACAGTATTATGTTCCATCGACATTAATTATTATGAATTATAGTTTGCATTTCGACGGTTAACTAGACTACTTAGACAGCAGTAAAATTCGAAATTTGGTTTAAACACCATAAGACGTGTAAGATAAACCAAACGATTCGCACATGTTAGACGTATAAGCAAAGCAAGTCGTTCTCTTCAGTATAAAACAAACCTAAACATTGTATCAAAACGTTTCTATACTACTAACGACTTGACATAAATCCCATTGAAATGGAACGCAAACGTGCAAACTAAACTCCGACTACGATGCTTTTAGTAAAGAGAGACGCGTTTTCAATTATCCCCTTTCATCTTTAACAACCTCCCGTAACGTAATCGACCGGATTGAAATTGACGCGACAACACACTGCCCGTAATCTCGGTTTACAGCGTCGTAAACGCGTTTTGGCTCGTTTCTGTTGCGATCGACGGATACGCGCATAAATATAACTCGATGGGAAAATCACTTTTATCGATTCCCTATGGTAAGAAAACCGATTCAAAGGCGTGGCCGTAACGATAATTTTACGCACACACAGTAGTAGGAAGGAAAAAGTTTTACGTAATCGTTACGATAAACGATCACAATTAAGAAGGAAACATAGTATCAGTGGTTGAGGTAAATTTCTACCTTCACTTCGATACGCCAAAGCGAAAAAATTATGCGTTTCGACGAATGCCGACGTGCGTCCAAATAAATTCGCCTTATTAAAGTCGGTAAATTGATTCTCGAGGTTTCCGAGAATTAAACGATGTTGGTTATCACTTTCAGAGTTGCTATGCGAAGCTCGGATGGAAAGGAACAACTTCTGGGTGGTAAATCTTTGCTCATTTAACGGGTGTCTACGTGCACCCAATTTATGAATAGTAAGTTTTCCTCGACGTCAACTCCAACCATTCCCTACCACTTTGTTCAATTTCCTCTTCAATTGCGTTTACAGAAGAAAGCTTTTAAGGTTTTCGGGATCGGAATTTTCACCAATTTACCAATATAAGAAGTAATGCAGTTTTATTCTAAGAATTTTAGAATCATATTAACTAAACCCATAACATTCTAGTTCTAGTTTTAATGTTATTCAGAGTTAGATTGCTGTATATTTTTAATGAACTAAAAGTAGAACTAACACTAGACCTAGAATTAGAAACATTCCAGAGTTTAGCTGCACGTCTCTTAAGATAGCTAAACCCGGACCTATGCGAAGTTAGCACCAATTTTTCTAGCCCCCCAATTAGATAAGATTTTATATGTATAGTATTTTGATTATAACAAGAGAATCACAGAACCGATTTTGATAAACAATGTCTCATTCGAAAGCTGAATCCTTAGCCAATACAAAAGTGGAAATGCCCGATTCGAAATCTCTTTCGAATTCAAAATATTGCGAAGGTACACGAAAATAACACAAAAACGACCTTCTTCAACTCTTACTGGTGCAGTGGTACAAAAAATAAACCACCTCAATTTTCACCCAACTGACTAATGGTCTATAATGTAGACCACAAATTTAAAATTATTTTCCTACTTTCACAGCAGCGAAAATTAAGTTATATCTACAAATGTATTTCTCTTTAAGAGAAATAGATGAAGATATAAATACAAATATTGATATTTATTCCAGCGAAAATGATTCAAATGACAAGAAACCTTTATTTGTACTTCAAGCAAGAATTAAAAAAAAATTAACTACAATTATCCTTTTGGCGAAATCAGCGGTGTTCGTGATAAAATAACCAGCTCAAATCCGACACCATATTCTTTATTTCAACTATTTTTCGGCGAAAATTTTATAAACCATATAGTTTTTCAGGCTTTTCAAGAACAAATGCGTACTAGAAAACATTACAGGAGAACGATGCACATAGGGGTATTTGATACCAAAAGTTGGCCAAAACTCAAATTTATTAATTACAGAAAAGAACAATTCTAATGAATTTTAGGAGTGGTGTTATAGATAGCGCATCAAATGGCAGCCATTTTGAAATGGCGGAATCTCGTCTTCGGTTACGTTGCACGTTGCAATTCTCGGTACTTCAAAACTGTTGAAAAAATTTACGAAAAGATACAGACCCACAGCAGTTAAGATTTGCAGCACAAATGAGCTTGAGGGCA